TTTTTTGGCGGACATACCTGGTCCGTCAATGGTCACTAAAGGGTTAAAACATGGGTAGGCAACCTTCAGCACGCTATACACTGTGGACTACACCTCCCCTGAGGCTTTGCCAGCTTGATGGCTTTAAGAACATTATGATAGATGTAGTCCACAACATCTGGATTGTCGAAAGTAGTAAAATGTTACTCCAACCACCATGACCACTTCAGTTAGTTGAAGTTGCCATGGTGGTAGGAGCCTGGATGTGCAGTGTTGATTTCGAAACACTGAACATTCAGAATTACTTATACTTGTGCGCCAGAGAAAAGTTACACCGTGGGCACACGTGACTTAGGCACCTTTAGAGGCTGTTTGAGTGACTGTCACTATAGGTGTTACAAGTCAGCAATGTAAACACTGCCTTTTGTCCGAAAGGTCAGTGTTTACATTGAAAAGCTTGCAGGGACTTTCTACAGATACCAGAACAACTGCATTAAGCTGTAGTGGTTCTGATGACTACAGTGTCCCTTTAATAATTATATTTTTGATATTGAAAAAAATTGGTTCCTAACTTTTTTAGCTGACTCCTAGATTCCAAGCAAATTTATCAAGCCCTGCTTCAACATTAATAGGTAAACAATGAAATGTTCATTTACATCAGCAGTCTCAAAATACAGAGAAAATAAAATAAAAGTATATGGTTAATAACACAAATAAGAAAATGAAAGGAAAAATTGTACCATCTGCTGCTTCCTCTGTTTAACAGGCACATAGGGAACATAGTCTTCATCATCTGACTGGTCCACATCCTCTTCGTCTGAGTGCACTCTCTAAAGGAGGGCAGAAGTTACAAGAAGATATCAGTATCAGAAATTGTTTAAAAAATGACTCTGGCTTATAAATTGCTCCCTAACTATTTCATGCATTTCAAAAATATCTAACTAAATAAATACTAGGCAAAAAACAGACCACAACAGGAATAAATCCACTACAGGATACAACGAATCTGCTTTATAACCCAATTCCAATAGTGAGTGCAGCAAGTTTTTTTTTTTCTATTTCTGAGTGTCCATGGAACGTGGAGATTATTAGCTTATAAAGTTATCAGAATTGCCAACAGTAATATTGTATCAAAGAGTTGACATTGTGATGACCACATATTATAGCACACTTATTCTTGTGATTTACACGTAGAATGTTTTAAAGAAGATGTGACAATAATACACAGATCATCCAGTTCATGGTGTCTCTAGCGAACACTGATTGTCCAAAGACCATTACCCGTTGACCATTTAACATCAAAGAAGCGGTTAGAACGGATTCTGCATTTTTGAATTTTGTATTTTGAAAATCCATTTATGCCTGACTACATTTTATTTTTAGTAACAGACAGAATAACATATGTATGTATATGATCCAAGTTTACAAGAAATAAAATATGAGAAATATGTATTTTGGATAACATTTCCACACGTAACACCTAGTACGAGAACAAGTAGGAGCAATTACTGTGATCTGCACTCGCTGGGCATTCAGACCACACATTGGCCCATTATGGAGTTTAACCACTGCCAATATCTCACCCTACAGAAAAGTAAGCAGTATGTAGGCAAAACACAGTAACACCACACGCAAACTTTATGGAGGACAGAGGAAGAGCCACTACACCCAGGACACTAGGCAAGGGCCGTAGATTTTTAATATAAATTATGTGTGTCTGGCCATGCAGATTCGGCTACCGCTTAGGAGACTAGGGCTCTCCCCCCGACATCCACTAAAACAACACACATAACTACTACACACAACCTGCATTTACAGAAACAATCAAAAATACAAGAAACTAGAATGCAATAAAAGCGTACAATACAACTGCCACCATACACAGCCCTGGAATCACTGGCACAGACGCTCAGTTTACAAACATCACAACCATACAGCCCTGGAAATAACAGACACTCATTTCATAAACATCACAACCATACAGCCCTGGAATCACAGACACTCAGTTCACAGCCATACACTCCTGGAATCACAGACACTCAGTTCACAAATATCACAACCATGCACCCCTGGAATCACAGACACTCAGTTCACAAATATCACAACCATGCACCCCTGGAATCACAGACACTCAGTTCAAAAACATCACAACCATACACCCCTGGAATCACAGACACTCAGTTCAAAAACATCACAGCCATACACCCCTGGAATCACAGGCACTCAGTTCATAACCATCACAACCATACACCCCTGGAATCACAGGCACTCAGTTCATAAACATCACAACCATACACCCCTGGAATCACAGACACTCAGTTCACAGCCATACACCCCTGGAATCACAGACAGTTCATAAACATCACAACCATACACCCCTGGAATCACAGACACTCAGTTCACAAACATCATAACCATACACCCCTGGAATCACAGGCACTCAGTTCACAGCCATATACCCCTGGAATCACAGACACTCAGTTCATAAACATCACAACCATACACCCCTGGAATCACAGACACTCAGTTCATAAACATCACAACCATACACCCCTGGAATCACAGGAACTCAGTTCACAGCCATATACCCCTGGAATCACAGACACTTGGTTCATAAACATCACAACCATACACCCCTGGAATCACAGGTACTCAGTTCATAAACATCACAACCATACACCCCTGGAATCACAGACGCTCAGTTCATAAACATCATAACCATACAGCCCTGGAATCACAGGCACTCAGTTCACAGCCATACACCTCTGGAATCACAGGCACTCAGTTCACAGCCATACACCCCTGGAATCACAGGCACTCAGTTCACAGCCATACACCCCTGGAATCACAGACACTCAGTTCATAAACATCACAACCATACACCCCTGGAATCACAGGCACTCAGTTCACAGCCATATACCCCTGGAATCACAGGCACTCAGTTCACAGCCATATACCCCTGGAATCACAGACACTCAGTTCATAAACATCACAACCATACACCCCCGGAATCACAGACACTCAGTTCATAAACATCACAACCATACACCCCTGGAATCACAGACACTCAGTTCATAAACATCACAACCATACACCCCTGGAATCACAGACACTCAGTTCATAAACATCATAACCATACACCCCTGGAATCACATGCACTCAGTTCAAACATCATAACCATACACCCCTGGAATCACAGGCACTCAGTTCACAGCCATACACCCCTGGAATCACAGACACTCAGTTCACAAACATCATTACACCCTTGGGATCACAGGCACTCAGTTCACAGCCATACACCCCTGGAATCACAGACACTCAGTTCATAAACATCACAACCATACACCCCTTGGTTCATAAACATCACAACCACACCTGGAATCCACACTCAGTTCATAAACATCACAACCATACACCCCTGGAATCACAGGCACTCAGTTCATAAACATCATAACCATACACCCCTGGAATCACAGACACTCAGTTCATAAACATCATAACCATACACCCCTGGAATCACAGGCACTCAGTTCATAAACATCATAACCATACACCCCTGGAATCACAGACACTCAGTTCATAAACATCACAACCATACACCCCTGGAATCACAGGCACTCAGTTCACAGCCATACACCCCTGGAATCACAGACACTCAGTTCATAAACATTACAACCATACACCCCTGGAATCACAGGCACTCAGTTCACAGCCATACACCCCTGGTATCACAGACACTCAGTTCATAAACATCACAACCATACACCCCTGGAATCACAGGCACTCAGTTCACAGCCATATACCCCTGGAATCACAGACACTCAGTTCATAAACATCACAACCATACACCCCTGGAATCACAGACACTTGGTTCATAAACATCACAACCATACACCCCTGGAATCACATGCACTCAGTTCATAAACATCACAACCATACACCCCTGGAATCACAGGCACTCAGTTCATAAACATCATAACCATACACCCCTGGAATCACAGACACTCAGTTCATAAACATCATAACCATACACCCCTGGAATCACAGGCACTCAGTTCATAAACATCACAACCATACACCCCTGGAATCACAGGCACTTGGTTCATAAACATGTGTAATAGAGAGACTGATCCCATGCAGTGTGTTTATACAATGATTATCTGTCCTGGGTACCTGGAGCCATGCCTGCACGGGGAGCCAGTTACAGGCTCCGGGTTACTAGTCACACGCCGTCACTAAGCTGCCCCCCCCCCCGGTAACAGACTAACCTTCTTATCAGATCCGCTCTGCATGGTCAGCTCTCCAAACGTTTTCTGGGCGAATGGTTCACTTCCGGCGCGTTAGTGACGTCAAACCTACAGTAAGAAGCACTCGGGTGACACCCAATGGTCAGAGATAGTACTACATGAGCGACAAGTGGAATGTGTTAATGGGAGATTGGCATTCTGGAATGACAAGGAAAAAAAAAAAAAAAAACTCTTCCATTCTGGAACTTTAATGTAAAGGGAGTCCAATGATTGCTGTTCATAAGAAATTTTATTTAATTTTTTTTCCCTAAAGTCAAAACAATGATCCTAAATACTTGTCATATAAGTACATAATACTGATAACAATGACATATTATGCTATAATTCAGCTTGTACTTTTACATATACAGATAGATGGGTAATACACGGAGAGCACTGATACTTAGTATGGAAAAGTCAAAAGCTGAAGGTAATAAATAAGATGACCATCATTAAGAAATATGTAGAATAAACTCTGCATGCAGTGTAGCAGCATTTTAAACACATAGTTAATTATTTTTATTTTTGACGTTTTTTCAAAATGCACATACACATTAAATTATTAAATATAGCTTATTCGTGAGTACATTAAAAAGTGGTTGGCACATATACAAACTGTTGTAATTCCTACACCGTTCACCTGATTTGGATGTAAATACCCTCAAATTAAAGCTGAAAGTCTGCAGTTAAAGCACATCTTGTTCATTTCATTTCAAATCCATTGTGGTGGTGTATAGAGCCAAAAAGATTAAAATTGTGTCGATGTCCCAATATTTTTTTAATTTTAATTTTTTATTTTTGTTGTGCAGGTAGGTACAAGGAATAAACATACGCCACAACAGCGTGTTTCAAGATTTGCAAAAGTTAGGCAGTGGCATGAAAAAAATTGCACATTTTCTATATATTTATATCAAGCTTGACTAAACGGTCATATTGTCAGAGTAGAGATAGGTAATTGGCGCTTAACAATGCTAGGATAGCCATGTTAGTGTAGGTATAATATGATGTCCTGTTTTGCGGTGTGGCAAAAGCTGGCTTCTATTTGATGTGTAGATAGCCTATATACATAGAGTGCACCCTATGAGGCATCAGAGAACAGGTAGCAGTACCAAATCTTGCCTACAACATAGTGTAACATTGCTGTATAGTCTAAGCATAAGAATTAACTGCTTTATCAAAAGTTAACTGGGTATTGAACCACTAGGAGTCAGTCTTGTCTCTATGCCAGTGATAAGTACCACTGTCGCCCCTTGAGTGAGAATTTTTTTTACTGAGGGTTTTGCAGCATTCACTCTGGATGAGTCCGCTGGTCGGTAGATCCATGCTGTATGAGAGGCATGTGAAGCTGTGTAGCACAGTGAGCCGGTCAGACTTTGGTAGGTTGCGGGTTATGGTAGCGGTTAACGGTGGTGGCTGGCAACAGTCCATCAGTCCTGGGCTTGGGTTGGTCTGCTCACCCCACCCCGATGCTCGGGAATTGATATGCGTAGTCCTGCAGGGATGTCGGGCCAGTGCACCATGTATCAATCCTCCAGGCCTTGTGAGGGGCCTGCCTTGAGTGGCCAGAGTCAAGGGCACTTGTCAGAGCCCAAGTCTTCCCAGTGTGGGATGCGGCAGTGGCCCCAGGTGTATTCTCATCACTTGTGGCGGGGGGTTGTCTGTCGTGGTGGCCGATGCGCTGGGTTCAGGAGGGCTCTGTCTGCTTGTGTTTGTGGCTTTTTGGGTGTGAGTGCCCTGAGGGTGTACCTGTGTCACTTGCTCCTTTCCCCCTCGTGGTCTCCTCCAGCTCCGAGCTTGGGTGGCCTCGGCTTGGGGCTCCAGCTGTGTCCAGAAGCGGGCAAAGAGCTCATCCATCCGCTGTTCCAGGCTTGTGTGTGTCACTTGTTCGTTAGGCTGCTCATTCAGCTTTGGCTCAGGATGTGCGTCTGCCATTTTGGTGAAGCGCATGGCTGTTTAGGCCCTCTCAGCGGTCGCCGCTTGTTGGTGTCGAGGGTAAGTGGGGCAGCTGTGGGGACTGGGATAACCCCCACCGGTCCAAAGGGAGGGGGGGGGTGGAGATCAGGTCCTACAGCAGCCTTCTCTTGCATGCGAGAGATCGGTCCATGGCAGTAAGAAAGGGCGACGGCCATCCACCCAGTCCTCCACTCAGGTAGGCCACAATCCACGGAGTGTCTCTAATTCTACCGGAGCTTCAGGATGCCGTTAGCGGAGTAGGTCTGCATCTCCTCCAGTGTCCCTTTTCCGGGATATTATTCGGTTTGCCGCGGTATTAGTAGAGTTTCAGGCTTTGTGTTGCAGGAGCTCTGCAGGCATGCGACCGATCGGCTCAGCGGTATAGCCCCGCCCCCCCGACGTCCCAATATTTATGGACCTGACTGTATATAAGGAGAGAGAAGAATGGACACATAGAGTAGATCTTCTTAAATCTCCTTACAAGATTGTATAAAAGAATAGGCATATCACCATAACCACTGGGTCCTCCTTCAGGACAGGATCCTCAGAAGGTCAGGAGCAGCAGCAAACAGATTAAAATGGTGATGTAAACAAATATTTTAAAATAAATCAAAAACAAATTAAATACAGTATAAGCTAGGGTCAGCCCTTATACTGTATTATATTTTTTCATTTGTTTTTTATTTTAAATATTTGTTTACATCACCATTTTAATCTGTATGCTGCTGCTCCTGACCTTCTGAGGATCCTGTCCTGAAGGAGGACCCAGTGGTTACGAAGATATGCCTATTCTTTTAACCATCTTGTAAGGAGATTCAATAAATTGTTCATTTTGGATAGAAGAAGATCTACTCTGTGTCCATTCTTCTCTCTCCCTATATATGCTTTGGATATGGAGTAAATGAAGAGAGAAGATAATATTGGAGGAGCTTAAGGCCTTCGATCATTTAATTTCATGTGAGTGCAATATTAAATAGCCTTTAAGCTCCCACCTGATCTTATTACACTATTTTAGTTTTTTCTTGTTGTAGATATTCTTGTGTATACATATTTTAAGAAGATCTGGAGGAATCTTAGATTTATCTACATTTAAATAAGTAAAGGGTAATTTTACTACTTCTTACCCCTTCTGTTTTTTTTCCGTTCACTAGTGATGCTGTATTGTGTGGTACAAGTTTTGTATATACTTATTTTTTTATGTCTGGATTGGAATGTACAGCCAAAACTCATGTAGGGTAACATAGAAACTCCATGTTATATACCATATATTGTACATCTAAAGTTACAGGTTTCAGGGCATGAGTCATGGGGTACAGGTTATAAGGCACCCGTTGTAGGTTGCATATCATAAGTTACATATTGTAAGGTACAAAGTGTAGGGTACATTGTACAAGTTGCATGGTATAGGGTGCAAGACATAAGTTGCATGGCGTAAATTATTGGAATAAATTGTTTAGTATAAGGTGCTTGGTGTGAACCACAGGTAGAAAGTTAGTGTCCATAAGTTACAGATCATAAGCCATGGGTTGCAGGTTGAAAGTTATAAGTAATGAATAGCTATAGGTTTTGAGTTCAGTTATAAGATATAAGTACCGTTAGCGGTTGTAAATTAAGAGCACAGTTGTCGGACTAGCCTATATTCCTGAAGGTGAGTATTTGTGGTTACGCTGTATTTTGGCTGTAGGGGATTTCAGCAGAAAGTTATCCCATTGTATCCAGGCTGCTTTCCAAAATTTAGCTAGCACAAGGGCCTTCCTCACCATCATTTCATATTCGTTTGGAACAGTCTAAGAAATGTGTGCAAGAATAGGTTGTTGGGATGTTTGTTGTTCGCCAATGTCTGCTGATTGCAGTTCGTGCCGCTGTAACAACGTGGTATTTTAAAATACCTGTGTTGCTTTTTAATATTTTTAGGGAATAGATGGAGCAGAAATATTTCAGGTGGTTTTGAGAGGGTAAATCCTGTACACAAAAAAAAAATAAAAAATAAAAATAGGAGGAGATACCTACACATAAATGATATGTAGGAGTCTCCGAAATTGGTTACTTAAAGGCACTATAGTCACCTGAACAACTTTAGCTTAATGAAGCAGTTTTGGTGTATAGAACATGCCCTTGCAGCCTCACTGCTCAATCCTCTGCCATTTTGGAGTTAAATCACTTTGTTTATGAACCCTAGTCACAACCCCCTGCATGTGACTTGCACAGCCTTCCATAAACACTTCCTGTAAAGAGAGCCCTATTTAGGCTTTCTTTATTGCAAGTTCTGTTTAATTAAGATTTTCTTATCCCCTGCTTTGTTAATAGCGTGCTAGACCCTGCAAGAGCCTTCTGTATGTGATTAAAGTTCAATTTAGAGATTGAGATACAATTATTTAAGGTAAATTACATCTGTTTGAAAGTGAAATCAGTTTTTGTTTTCATGCAGGCTCTGTCAGTCATTGCCATGGGAGGTGTGGCTAGGGCTACATAAACAGAAACAAAGTGATTTAACTCCTAAATGACAGTGAATTGAGCAGTGAAAATGCAGGGGAATTATCTATACACTAGGGATAACCCTAATTTAGACAATAAAGAAAGAGTTTCAGAAAGACCTAACAGAGAGGGAATTTCCCAAGAGATTACTATTAACTAAAGCTACTATATCAAGGTGAAATGCAAATTTTATGAATTAAAATAAAACCTATATAGGGGGACGGGGCCTGACCTGCAAACTAGACGGTCGCATGGCAGAAGAGCTCCCAATGCCAAAGCAGCTTTTGGGGATATACTCACTAATTTGATTACTAAAAAGATGCCGGGTACGCTACCCATGCTGGGGGCACCCTGGCGAATCGCCTGATACCGAACTCAAGTATTTCCCACAAGCACGAGCCTGAAGGGGCCCATGGTGGCCCGCGGTGGATGGGGGGGGGGAGGCGGCCGCTCTCCTCGCCTTCGCACCGGGGGCGCTGTACCACTGATCCCCCGCTCCCCCCCCCCACAGTACCGGCGGGGGTTATCCCGGTCCAACCCTGCCAGACGGTAGGGCTACGGCAGATGCAGATGTCGGAGCCTAACAAGCAGATCCCAGCCACACAGACCCACACAATGGCAGACGCCACGTGCGACTGCATTGGCGGCAGAGCGGAGACCGATGTCCGGAAAAGACTAGACGTTATCTTCAACGCCTTTTGGGCACAACTAGGACTCAGAGAGCGACAGGTCAACATACAAGCGACCTTACCCAGAGACGAACCCGCACGTGCTGGCTACAGCCACGCTGTTCCCCGCTCGGAGGCAACCACAAGATAGCGCCGAAGACGGAGACCTCACCCGCAAGCGATTGACCAAAACAGCGCTGATAACTCGCAGGGACAGGCAGGTCCCACCTCATCCTCACACGGCACCGAATCCCGCCAGGCAACCTTCAAGAAGCAAACACCCATCAGGGCACCAGAACCTGTCAACATCAAGGGGAGTTCCAGAATCCAGGACCAGAGCACCAACTACCTACAATAAAACTACAGGTACCCACAGCGACAAGGTGACAGGCCCGGGCCCGGCCCTAACACAACTAGACTTTGCCTTATCCCAGCAGCCACCAAAACCAGTGACAAGGTCCCTACCTATACCCCAAAAGGACTGCCAAGTACCCCTATTATCATTCCCAATGCTGGGTATAGGTTGACAGCGAGCACTCAGGCTGGACTCTCAGAGGCACATACCCAAAACCTCTGCCACAACGGACGCTGTGTTTGCCACTCTGCAGCCTCCTAAACAGAGACCCACCTAACCGGAGACCTCTACAAGATAAGCCTATAATGACTACAAGCCAATAAGCAATATGCGTTTATACGTACCACATATGTTTGGCAACGAGATATGCCATTATGGCGGAGTGGCCTGTCGCAGTGGTGTTTCGCTTTCTCTTCCTTGCCTGTGCCATATGTTTGTCCCTGTGCTGTGCCTTGAGGTAGAAACCGCATTTGCATGGGTGACAAGGTATCTCTGACATGTACTAGTACAGCCTGGGGTGGTATACTAAGCAGTTGCCTAATACACCCAAGTCTTCACAGTATAATGGGAAATATTTAATCTAAATCACAAGCGTTACTCCATTACTATTCCTATTGTATTTATGATTATTCTGCAGTTATATGTTTAATTACACTAATGTCCTTAACCTGTGTCCTACTCTCATGACACTCAGTACATCTAGCATGCTACTCACCACGTCTAGCATGCTTAGATTTCTTATCAACTTTAAACTGCTGAAACTTACAAACGTGTATGCATAGCTTGTTTATAATTTTATTTAAAAAAATGTGCCGATATTTACATACCATAAATGTGAAAAACTGTGTTCTAATCTTTTTTATGCATGCCGTTGTGGCATTGTTAAATGTTCTGTTACCTCCTGCACAATGAAAAATAAAGAATAAATAAATAAATAAAACCTATATAAACCCACCACCAAAAATAGTGTGCTCTACTAACGTGATTGTGTGAAAAAACTACTGTGGTTAGTAGAATATACCTATTAAATAATGAGATGTGATTTAGAGAGATATAGCGTGTAGCTATATTATAAATACTATATTAAAAGTAAACTAGGAACAAACGTTGGAAGGAAAGAATATGAATACATCTCCTTTTTTAACTAAACCTCCTATTCGAGAATGAGACAGATATACTGTATCCAAATGGTGGCCACCTGGTATAAATTTATTGGATGTTACAAAAATGTGATGTTATGTAACCAAGCTCAATCAGTGAAACTAGAAAATACCACTTAATACTCCCATTAAATTGCAAAAAGGGACAATTAACTAGGTATATAGATTGCTAGAAGGTAGCATTTGGTATTAACAGAAAGTAGTATTGGAGTAAGAATTAAAGTTTAGAAAAAAGGCAACATTAAATTGTAGTTAATACAGATATGAAGTATCCCCTGCCTCTATTCTAAAGATAGGTGAATATGTTAGGCAGTCCCATACCACCTGCATTGAACACAATTACAAAATAAAAAGGCCACAATAGTTTATTTAGAAAGAAAAAAAAAAAGAAATGGTACAGAAGTTACCTTCCTATTCACCCTGCTGCTTATGTAGGCTGGCTTCTGTTTATCCAGATTCTTTTTCAATAAAAGTGATTACTTATCAGAAAACTTCCACACAAAAAAAAAAAAAAAAGTAGCATTTACATTGACAAACCTGCAGGACAGGCTAGAACCACTAAATTAAGCTATAATGGTTCCAGCGACTATAGTGTCCCTTTACGGATTCTTACACAGCAGTTTTAAATACTACATGCGCATTTTATATTAATTGGAACGTTAAGAAAATCTGATCCGGATTACATTTATTTTGCTATGCTGTTTCCATTGGCATCTTTTTTTCTCCCCATGATTACAATGCAGCATGCTGTAGACATTCAAAAATATTTTAAGCACAAACTTTTCCCTTTAGAGTATGCCTTGCTACACCTTTACCTCGTCAAAATTCTTAGAAGGTAGGAGCTGGGTTGAGCTACCTTAGCTTGGTATGTCTGCTCCAGTATATGTTATTCTGCTTATTATGCTACAACATTGTCTAAAGTTAGTTTTACCCACAGCATTCTACACTCAATACCCCATAATGAAATGGCAAAATAAATTTTGAAAAACTTTGCAAAACAGATGCATCCCATTTCTGTTGCAATGCTTTCAATGTCATCCTCTTAAGGACACAGCTTCAAAAGCTTGTCTTACCCTTAAAGGACACAAGCAGACATCACAGAAAACAAAATTGCCCCACAAAAAAGTAGATATCACAGGCTATTTTGATACTTTTTATGTAGCCATTTCATCGCTAATCTCTGCTAAATATTGGAGTAAAATTGTGTTTTATTCTCTATTTTGGCATACACACATATAACAAGGTTTTTGTAATGTGCATTTTGTAAAGCTGGTGTGTGCACCATTCCTGCACAGAACCCCATATTGTGTTCAGCTACATCTGCTGAATATAACGATACCCCATTGTATGCCTTTGGCACTATTCTGTGAAGCTACAATGCCATATGAGACACAATGCTAGTTCAGTTTCTATAGTTAGAATGTTCATAGATGGACGGGCCAATGTCGCATTTTGGGGTATTATAGTATTTTGACTGTTCAAATAACCCCACAAAGGGCTTCCATTTGATAAAGTAGACACCCCTTGGTAATGAGCATTTAAAAAAAAAAAAAAAAAAATTACATTTTTAAAAAAACTTGTTTAGACTTTACTTATTACATTTTTGTAACTTTCTTAGAACTTTTTTTACACATTTTTTATAAAAACTTTTTTTTTTTTTTACTGTTAACCAGCAGTAAGCAACACATAAATTTCCCAATTCCCCATAACTCCAACCCACCCCAGCTAGCAAAAATATATAGATTTTAAATTAATGAAATAAATTGAACCCCTCAGAAGGGAGGGGGGTGGGGGTGTATATTATATATAAATATAAAAAAACCTCAGTGGAATACTGTGATCTGTATTTTGATAATTGTAGGCAGTTCTCAACTGGTAGGGGTTAATTTTTATTAGGACTGGGGAAAGGTGAGTGGGATTGTTTTTTAAACGGTATTAAAACATTTGAAAGCGTATTTTCTTACTAGCCCAAAACCAAATTCCCCACTATCGTCCACCAAACTAAAATATATAATTTTAAAATATTTAAATAAACTTAACCAAAGAGGTAATTTAAAAAAAATAAATAGAGATAGATTTCTCTTTCAGATCATAATAAAAATGTAGTTCCTGCAAATTGGTCGCTGTAGTCAGTGATCCATTGGCAGGGAAGGGGTTAATTTTATAACATGACAGGAGGCTTCGTATTTGCTTTAGTCTTTCTTTACTAGAACTCCACAGCAGCACAGAAAAACAACCAATCAGAAAAAAGTTAGGTACTATAAAACCCCCTTCCCATTGCATAATTTCCTCTTTCTTTGCTGCTCCGCAGTCAGTACAGGTCAGAGTACCACTGCCTCCTGCTTATAGTGGGTGGCTTTGGGATTTAGTGTGATTTATTTATGATTGTTATTAATTATGCTTGCTTGTGAGATTTATGTGCCTTTCTGGCTCTTTTCTTTTCTTTGGGGAATGTTTCCTTTACATTACTGATAGTTTTGCCATGTGTTTATTTATACAGATTACTGATAGTTTTGCCATGTGTTTATTTACACAGATTACTGATAGGTTTTCCATGTGTTTATTTATACAGATTACTGGTAGTTTTCCATGTGTTTATACAGATTACTGATAGTTTTGCCATGTGTTTATTTATACAGATTACTGGTAGTTTTCCATGTGTTTATACAGATTACTGATAGTTTTGCCATGTGTTTATTTATACAGATTACTGGTAGTTTTGCCATGTGTTTATTTATACAGATTACTGGTAGTTTTGCCATGTGTTTTATTTGTACAGATTACTGGTAGTTTTGCCATGTGTTTTAGTCACCGATTTCTGTGAATTTCCATATGTAGATATATCACAGATTACTGTGAGTTTCCATATGTAGATATATCACAGATTGCTGTGAATTTCCAGCTGTATATATCACAGACTACAGTGAGTTTCCATGAGTATATATTCCACAAATTACTGTGAGTGTCCAGGTCTATATATCACATATTACTGTGAATTTCCATGTAGATATGTCAGACTACGGTGAGTTTCCACCTAGATATATCACAGATTTCTCGGATTACTGTGAGTTTCTATGTGTGTATATATATATATATCGCGGATTTCTGTGAGTCCTTGGGCAGTATATACTTATATCACGGATTCTGTGAGTTATAGGACAGTGTATACATAAATCACAGATTTATGTGAGTTCTATGTCAGTGTATATAGCACGGCTTGCTGTGAGTCTTCGTGCTATAGATCTCACGGATTGCTGTGAGTTTCACTGACGGTAGATGTCAGTCCTGTCTATGCCGATACTATTCTATCTTATCAGGCTTCTTGGGAAGATCGGAGGAATCACCTCTCACATCAAGAGTCGAGACACGGTGGAAGTCTCTTCTCGCGACCCCTCGGCACTTTACACCTACAGGAATATGGCTAATAGGTCAACTTGGCAGCCCATGGACCGACTGCTAGGGAACAGGTCGTAACCCCACGTACAATGGATCTATCAACGGAGGTCACTTCTCGCAGTTGGAAGGTCGATTTAGGATTGCTCTAATATTCTTGGAATGGGTACCAGTGAAACAAGCAGCGTTGGATTTGTTGGCTGAGCGTTAAAACGGCAAATACGAAGCCTCCTGTCATGTTATAAAATTGTAGATTATGCTAGCTTTAGTGTACCTATAATCTTAATTTTATTAATGACAGGAGGCGAGTATTTACCACCCATTCTTATCCCTCCCTTGTTTAATTTTATAGTTTGGATTTATCAGGTACGTATACAACTCTGCTTGTTGTTTCTGCTACCTGTCACCTGTCCTTATGTCTGTTTTTCATAAGTAGGGTTGGGATATCTACATATTAAGGTAATTTTGTTTTGCTACATTGGGTATCTACAAGTTTATTCAAAATACATTTCATTGGATAATCAACCAGTTCGATTCTGTTTTTCTCTCGTTTCAGTTTCCAGTTCTTCAGCACTATCTGGTGTGGCGCTTCTTCGTGGATGGTGGACATTGACTTATTTTCAGTCCATCAACGCTATCCGGTTGACAGTTCTTCTCAGACGCTGGACATTGTTGTATTCATTGTATCTGGACTTCGTTGCTTCCCATTATTTTTTCTGCCTTTGTTCTGTTTTGTCGCAGCTTGAAAGAGGAAATGATGCAATGGGAAGGGGGTTTTATAGTACCTAACTTTTTTCTGATTGGTTGTTTTTCTGTGCTGCTGTGGAGTTCTAGTAAAGAGAGACTAAAGCAAATACTCGCCTCCTGTCATTAATAAAATTAAGATTATAGGTACACTAAAGCTAGCATAATCTACAATTTTTATTTAAGGTGGAGGGGAAATTTCACTTTTTTTGCAGGGAGAAGCCGATCACTGCAAATCAGTCTCTTTGCACTTCACATGGACCGCGGAAGCGCAAGGAGGCGGAGCAGGAGTCCCTGCAGCACATGTGCTCACTTTGCAGGTACAGTGCAGTGCAGTCTGGTGCTCCCTGTCTGCCTACTGAAGGAGCGTTAACCCCGTGATATTGGGGTTAACTTTAGTAAATTAAGGACATTTTCCGTCTAGTGTCGCAAAGGGGGTTATGGAATACATTGAGAGGCCAGAGACAGCATAGCTGACCAAGATTTTTGGGGGGGGCTATTTTTACCTTAAATCTGGAATTTACACATTTGTGAATAGGCGTTTGATTGGATAGGAATTATAAAGACGCACAGCTCTAAATGGATATTAAAGCAAAACCCCTGCTACCCCCCAAAAAACCCAAACAAAACAGGCAACGAGGTCAAAGGAACAGATTACAGAGCTCAGAGATAGGATTGTGTCAAGGCATAGATCTGGGGAAAGCTACTTTTTTTGCGGCATTTAATGTCCAGCACAGGTGGTGCTTTACAGCAGTAGATATTAGGAAACTGGCAAGTGTTGAGGGAAAGCAGACCACCACTTCCAACCCGACCGATTGTGAAGATCTAAAAGATATCATAAAACAAAACCACCCCAAATCCAAGTGTGCAAAGCTTGTTGCATCATTTTAATTTTAAATTTTTTTTTAAACAATTGCAGCATACGGCTGAAACATAAAACAAAATTAAGGGGTCTGAATACTTGATGAATAAGCGGTGAAAGAAAAGAAATATGGAGCGGGGCCTGACTGCCGAACTGAGCGGCAGCACTTTGAGTAAGCTCCGTAGACAGCCCCAGAAATATCTACTTAAATACAAATTCAACTGCAAAAACTGTATGGACACAGAGACCAACCTGTATACCTGAGTCCCCGCCCCCCGTGAGGGGCATCCCGGCACTTGCCCACCGCCTTCTACTTTGCGGCGGAGGGATTAATCGCCACAGAGCAGCCTCAGGCAAAATGGCGGACACCATGCTGGCCTACGTCACAGGAGCCACTCGAGGTACGAATAGACAGACTGCTAGCAAACTTCTGGGCGAAGCTCGGGAGCAGACCGAGCTGCCTGCAAACAGACCTGAAATGCTGACATGCCACCTGCCTCACCTCCCTCTCCCCGAGGCACAAGCAGCTCGAACCGCCAAAAGGCCCAAACACGACCCCACAAGCCTCGGGGGAGGAGAGTGCGGCATAAGGCGCACCAGCCATCCCAGAAGGGGAGCATGAAGCGCACCTACAAGCCCGACAGAACCACGGGCCGGCCCCCAAACAGAGACTGCAAGATCATGGGAAGACCACAGGATCACGACAAGGTGGAACAGGGCCGGGAGCGGACCGCTGGTGGGAGAAGCATCTCACCACTGTACCGCGGCTTTAACCATGTATATTTTAATCTTGCAATAACTGTTATAGTTCTAACCTGATGAAATCTTTATAAAAAGTAAAAACACACCACTTTTTTTTTTTTTTTTTTTTTAATTCACCTTGGTTTTATCCCCCCCCCCTTCTATTTACATTTTTTTTGCATAGCCAAATTATTTTCATCAAACGTTTGATGCCTCGTACCTGACTTGCCAAAAATACTGTAGGCAGGATCTTACACAGATTTTAAAGCCAGCTTAATAATAATAAAAAATAAAAGTTTGTGGTTTGTGTTCCTGCAAAGGAAAAACTGTTTTCCTGGCACTGCAGGTCCCCTCAATCCCTGGTTGCTGAAGGGGTGAAAACCCCTTCAGTAACTTACCAGAGGCAGCGACATGTCCCACGTCGCTGCTTCTCCTCTGTATTACGTCGGCCGGTGGGCACGACTGATCCCCGCCCATCGGCCGGGAGACCTAATGCGCATGCGCGGCATTATCTTTTACATCTTCACAATCTGTCGAGTTGAAAATGCTTTCCAATGGGGAATTGAGCGACACTGGAGGTCCTCACACAGTGTGAGGACGTTCAGCGACGCTCTAGCACAGGTTTCCTGTGCTATGGACACAGAAGTGCCCGCTAGTGGCTGTCTAGTAGAAAACTACATAGAGGTGGAGTTAACCCTGCAAGGTAATTATTGCAGTTTGTAAAAAAGAAAAAACCTGCAATAATTACACTTGCAGGGTTAAGAGTAGTGGGAGTTGGCACCCAGACCACTCCAATGGGCAGAAGTGGTCTGGGTGCCTGGAGTGTCCCTTTAACATTTCATGCTATGTAGTTTTATCCATGAGTTAGAACAGGACCCTTATGTATACAGGTTATCATTTACAGCCTCAAACCAGAAATGTTTTTACTTACCTAAACCTTTCCCTCGCAGCCACCGCCATCATATTTCTGCTGGTCCTCTTCAGCCCCTACAAATTCCACTGCAAAAGTGCAACAGTGATGTCTATGGAGGATAAACAGAGTCCCTTTTCCCCTCATCCATCACTACTGTGGGCTGGGTGTTTGACAGTGGTAGCTTCTCTTTTTTGAGTAGAATGACACGCAAGACAATTGTAGTTTCTCTTTCTGAAATGTAATTTGGGGCGAAATCCACTACTTCTGTATTTTCAGATTCAGGAAGTGCACAGTGCTTCTGAAAATTCAGAAGCTGGATGCGGGTAGTGGACCTCGCCACTGGAGGCAACTTTTGGGTGAAAGCTTTTGAGAATGGTTTAACCACTTGAGTTAAGAATAGCCTGCAGAATAGCTTGCACTGCAGCAGCCAAGAGAACTGCATGTTTTGCAAACGGTTTGCATAATAAAAATGCATGCAAGTTTTCAGATGAGGCATATTTACTAAAAACAGTATTTGGGTAGTGGAGTGTCCCTTTTAAAGAACATTAAAAACGTCTCGTGTAGGCACACTGTGCTGTGATACGGTACCGGATTCATAATAAAATAAATTTTTTCACATAGGCTGTGAGTCCAGGGCAGAAAGCAGATAATTCCTTATAAGCATAGCAAAAATTTCTGTGAATTGTAGTTGAAAGGTCATCTTTCAGCAAAGACTTGAAATCACAATTCAATAAAGATCAAGCCATGTGCTTCTCAAAAAAAACAAACAAAAAAAAAAACAGTTTACACAAAACTTTGTAGGTTGGGATGAAGTAAAAAAATTAATAAAATAAAACAACTTAGTACAAAAAACATGCGATGGATGGTACAAGTCATGAATCTGATTTGCATTAAACCATAGGATTCCAATACTTCAGTCTTAATGAAGGTTAATTTGATTACATGCGGTCTACTTTAGAACAGCTGTGAACATTATGAAGATAACTTGGTCCCACCAGTAAAAGAAGCCACGTCACAATTGAGCAAAGCAGAAATATAAACATTGGCATATTATTTGTACATCTATTCATGAGACTCCACACAGTATTCCACAATGTTGTTAGAATAAAAAAAATAAAAAAAAATTAGACTGCTTCTGTGATGATTGACACTTTTACACACACACACACACACGCTGCTCATTTTCTGTCAGTTTGTGTAGCAAATATAAAGAAAATCAGATAATGACAAAAATACAAGACTCTGTTCCATCTGTATCCAAATGTCATTTAATCTCTCCTGAAAGAAAGATTTTCACAGTATAAAAGTAAATAATTATTTTTAAAAAAACAAAAAAAAACCACAATGCCAATGTGCACTTGGCCAACATAACATCAATTAAAAATAAAGCCAAACCCAGAAAACTGAGCTTGCAAATTCACATGGCCAGAGTCCCATGGAGTATTCAGGCATAGCACCAGCTGTCAGGTAGAAAAAAAAAAAATGATCGGGAACTGGAAGGGAATATTAAAAGATATTTAGTTCTTGCTCAGTGGTGATTAGATACAATGGATTAGTTTGGTAAGAGGGAGCATATTGGTAACAGTAAAGCATATAGCAAAAAAGGACTTTAAAAATAAATGTGCAGGGTAATTATTTTTACACCAGAACACAAAAGGTAGGTACTTCTCAAATAATTATTTCCTAGGCAATAATGTCCAGTATTTTATAGCCAATGGGTGCACTTAAAAAGCAACATGGAGTGATGTCAGCACTTAAAAGATATGTAGGAAAAATAGGGACATGTGCAACAAATACCATTGGAGGAGAAACAGTCAGTCCCCTTCCCACACTGACTTGTGATGGCAAAGTTTTGAATTGTTGGTTTTCAATTACTGCTTCCAATTCTTTGCAGTGATGTACATCAGTAACTTTGTGAATATAAACTGGAAGACAAAGCACATCCACTGTTTGGGGAGTTGTATTCTCCATGGTAGCCATTTCTAATGTGTATATATAAAATAAAATTTAAAAAAAAATTACTGTTCATGGGTGTTTTAGCGTGTTGGATGTTTATGATCGGTAATGGCACTGAAAGAAATTTGATCCGTACCCCATCATCTAATAGACATTTAGATCCAAATCACTGCCATTTTCAAAGTGCTGGAGAAGCACACTGCTCTTTTTTTCTTCTTTTTTAAAGATGGGGATGAGGGGGAGTTGTACCTTTAAATATTGCAAACTATTATGGAGTCTGCAAACAAGTTCCATTACATGGACTACTCAGAGAAGCGAGGGAGACCTGTCTTTAAAACACACAGGCTGTCACATGCTGTAGTCCTGTAGGAAATATGCAGATTCATCTACGGAAAAAAAGGAGTCAATGAAAAGTTCTCCGTAGAAAAGCTAGCGTCACGTCCATTTTCTAGACTCATACAAAGAGGATAGTAAAACAAGTTCCACAGTTCATAGCAACCAGTTCAATCTGGATTATAAAAACAATAAATTCCTTGGCAATGGTTTGGTTCAGAAATAAAATAAACCACAAACAGTGTAGTGTTTGGCCGTCTCAAATTCATAAAAAAAAAAAAAAAAAATTTTGGAGAGAAGTGCTAGAGGTGTGAATTTCATTTGGAAGTTAAAATTACATATTGAAAAATAAAAATATATGCTACATAGGAGCAACATTGACCTCCCCAACTCTTTTTGAATTCAACTCTCAGAATGCACAGACAGCCAAAAGCTTTTTAAAAAGAGGATACAGGTTTCTAGGTCTATGAAGAGTAAATTCGGACGACAATCTGAAAAATCAGTAATAAATCATTTGAGACATTAGATCAACTTTGATATAATAAAAATAAAATAAAAAAAAGTCAGTTGGGTTAGAAATGCCAATATAGTTCATTGCTGTACTAAAATGATAACTACTATGCAGTTTTATCAGGCTTTTATAGACGAAGTTTAACGCTTACCTTTAAAAACGGGTGACTATTCTAGAGAACAGCAGACCAGTAGCTTTCTAGCAGTAGAGTTGGATCACGACTTAAAATGTACACCATGTTTGCATGGAGAGAAGATTTCTATAATAGCAGCAAGAGGAAGCCAACTGTCCCTTGCTCAAAGGCTACAACTGAAAATAATGGGCTTACAGGAATATTAGTATTTAATAACAATGAGCTCTAGATAGCAGCCTTCTCTGGATTTCCCCTTAGCCAAGTTTTAGAATAGACAGAGGACACCTCACTAGCTGCCGTTCCATATTCTGACACTACGGACCTGGAGATGGCTGCATTAAAAGGTTTCTGTACTCACAGTGGGAAGAAGCCCATTTGTAAGATACAACAGATCTCAAAAGCTGTTTTTACTGTACATAATGTCCCTCAGGGCAATACATCCCTGGAAACCCAAACTTGTTGCTGAAATATATCTAGGCCAACCTTCGAGAAAGTCGAAGGACATCAGAAAGTCATGTGGGAGATATACAGTGCGCCCATTTGTGCCTTGACATATTAAAACTACTGTATTTCTCTGCTAAACCGTCTTCATCCCTTTGCAGTTAATGGGTTGCTCAAATGAAGAATTTCAGCCAATATCTCCCCCCACGTTTTTTTTTTTTTTTTAAATCCATCACTCCACTTCTGTGAGCAATTAAAGTGTCCATTTAAAAAAAAAAAAAAAAAAATGGGAATTTCTTTGTGTCTTTTGCTAAAAGGGATGGGAATTTCTTTGTGTGTCTTTTGCTAAAAGTACACAATTCTTAAAAATAAAAATCAGTTTAGCGTAGACACATTTAAAAAAAATAAAATAAAAATATTTAAATAAATAAAAATTACACAACACCTCTTGTGCCTTGCATGGCAAATGAATCTGCTAAGAACAATAGTTAGGATCATGAATCTAATAAAATCTGGATTGTTGGGCTCTAGAAGGAAGTAGTGGAGGAATGGCATATGTCACTGAGCCACACTGGAAGTGAGTTTCTTCAAGCTAAAATTGGTCCAGTTCACAACCACTTTCTGACGTGTTTGCTTGGCAGAATCCAGACAGAACCTAGGAAGGAACAAGAGGAGATAAAGATGCCGGTAGGAGAGTTTCTTCCCTTTTACCTGCCAATGACTGCCTTATGTAGTGGGTGTAGAATGCAAACTGAAATATTCATTTTGTGCCCAGTGCTGGTCCTCCTTGTAGTGCTGTGGTTAAGACTCATCACCATTCTCACCTCTTGAAATATTCTACTTCTCGATCGGTCTCATCCATCTCTAGGTTGTCTATATCCTTTGGAAGGAATATGTCATCTAGGAAATCTGAAAAAAAAAAAAAAAAAAAACCACACACGATATAACAGAGTGAATGTAAAAAGAGGCAATAGGAATAAAAAAAAACAAAACAAAAACAAACAGAAAAAAAAAACACCACCCACCAAGACAGTTGTCAATGGACACTAAATTCAGATTACATTTCTCTCCCCCATGTAAAAAAAAAAAAAATTATAAAAAAAATAAAAGAAAAATAAATCACACAACTCACCTTTGCAGTAAAAGCTCAGAAAGCTAAGGCATGCCTGACACCAATTGCCTAACCTTGAAAGCAAAAACACTCCTATTGCACATGTTACAAGTAAATATATAGTGAGATTTGTAAACTCAGACCTACAGACACTATTTAGATCAGAGGCT